CCAATCAGCTTGAAGCTGGTGAGGGGGGTGGGAGCGGGAAATTCGAATTTGACAGCTCTGTACACTCTATAAAAACCATGTTATTTGGCTTGTGCTTTATGTTGGCTTTAGCAAATGATTGCAGTTTAACATCCGCTCCAGCTGGAATGAAATAAACAATTCGGTGGCATTTTCTTCAACTTTGGTGAGATTTATTTGGAAAAAGATGGGAAAATTTCTTTTGGGTGTTTCCTTCTCGCCAGAGTTATAGCAGACCCTCCTTGGTGGATCTGCCGGGTCCTGCCTCCAAGGCGAGACCCTCCAAATTCTCGCTCAATATCAACAGCACCTGCGATTCATTGGCATACACCATAAATAATATACAGACAGTAAGACTGCAAAAAGTGCCAACCATGACTTAGTGCTGAAACTTGAGAAAACATGAATGCACAAGACCCAGCAAGTCCAACTCTAAATCCACTGCGCACTACACCAAAATCTACAGCAAAAAAAGGATGCTTCCTTCTAGTGGTTGTCTAGGCTGTGACTGCTAATCTGTCTCCAAGTACAGATGAGACAAGGAAGAGATGTTTTGGAAGCTGAACCTGGGGAAGAAGGGCTGTGAACTACAAGAACCTTAGAGCTAGATTTTAAAAAAAATCTCTCCAATTGGGAGCAATGGGAAATCTTTTTAAAAGGCAGGGGAACAGAGATAGCAGTAGTAAAGGGCAAAATTAATGGGAGTCTGCTCCCATCACTAGCGGACTCCCATCAATTTATGTCTGTGAGGTTCTTTCTATACAACCAAGAGCCTTCCTGAACAATGTGTGGCAGATACAATGTATTATATTATTAACATAGCACAATATCAGTATTATATATTACTGTATTGTACTATACCATTATATTGTAATATTATTAGTAATATTGCATGCACCGTAATATAAAACATCTAACTATAATATTGTATCTTTATTATTATTATTATTATTATTATTATTATTAGTAGTAGTAGTAGTAGTAGTATAATGTATTACATTATAATATTATAAATATTACATGAATATACATTATATTATATTAATTATATTATATTAATTATATTATATTATGTTATTAGCATAGCACAGCAAACAAGATGGAACTGTCCTCCTGGCCCCTTCTCTCTTCACTTAAATGACTTTCTTCTCTGACCACTTCCATCCCATCCTACTTTATTTTGGAGCTCATCATTCTATCCAATGCTTGACTTTTGGAAAACCAGAATTTCCATAACCTTTTGGAGAAAAATGGCATTCACAACTCTTTGAAAATCACAACCTTTTGTAAAAGTGTGATCTTTCAGATAAGAGCCAATAAAACTCATTTGAGTAAAATCTTCTCTTTAGTGGTATATATCGACATGTACTTATGCAAGGCAATTTAGTTTTCAGTTGTTAGACTGATAACCTGGTTGTCTCTGATCTGTTAGGAAAACAGAGATTTGCCTGTTTGGACTAATAAGCTTTATACCTGTATATACTGAACACATGAAGGTTGTGAGTAAACCCAATATGTTATTTTTATCCAAGCTTGCTTCATTTTTTTCTCTTGACTGCATGATGTAAAACAAGTTGTTTTATGGGGAATATATAGGCACCGAAAAACACTTCCGAAGCTCTGTTGTTTTATGCACTGGCAAATCTCTTTTTTCCTAACAGATCAGAGACAACAGGTCATTCAGTCTAACAAGCAAAACCGATTGCCTAGCATAATTATATCTGTTGTATACCATAGGAGATTTGCCGGTTTGAACTACATAGGAGAAAACTCTACTCTAAAGGGTTTTTGGCTCTTCTCTGAAAGGTCATGTTTTTCTAAAAGTTGCGATCCCCAAAAGGTGTTTTTCCAAAAGATTATAAATGCCATTTTCCAAAACGATTTGGGGATTTAAGGATTCCTCACACACTGGTCGCACCCCTGTCCTTGCACTTGCCCCTTACAGCAGCTCCCATAGATTTGAGGGGCAGACTCACAGGCAGGTGATGACGAAGAGCTAGAAGACCTCTTTGGCTGCTGACCAGGGGAAACCCCATAGGCCTAATATGTCACCACATAATAATTGGATGCCCTCTTTGTGAAGGGAAATGCGATTAATTATGCGGTGAAATACATTACATGGTCACCATAAGTCAAAGTCAATCAGATGGCAGTTAACAATCCCCACTCAACAAAACTGTACTTAATTTTGAACAGATTCAAATAAGTGAGTGCATTATATGAACTTATGATTTGGAGCAGAGGTTATATATATTTTACATGATATTTTGGAAACGGTTGATATTTTTAGATATTTTTTTTGCAATGAAAAAAGAACAGTCTTCTTTAAAATATGGGCATGCTGTAGAAGATTTAACCACTCAGTAGGCTAACAACCTCTAAATAGCTATTAACATGCTCAGAAACTACCATCTTCAACATCTTGATGGCTGAACTGGTTTACAAGTAGGCATGGTCTCAAAATAAAGTGTATCAATAAAATAAAATAAAATAAAGTAAAATAAAGTGTAATAAAGTGTATTATCGAACAAGAATAGGCTGCATATGTTTTTCTACTAAAGGATATTACCCTCGTGTATTTTTGAACTCTGAAAGGGCCTATTTTGAGCATTCAGCGATGGTAATGACTCGCCATCTCTCCCACCTCTAGGCCAGCTATATGTCATCATTGCCGGATCCACCACCACCACACTGAGGAAGTGGTTTTTCTCTCTCCATTTCCTGAAGACAAGGCAGTTTACAGAAACAACAGACAGCTCTAGAATTCTTTCCTTTTGCTTCGTTGTTGTTTCACTGTCAAACTTCTCCGGTCACTTCTATTTGTGGAAGATGAAGGAAAAAATGCGAAGACCAACAAAACAAAACAAAACCCTTCATTCTTGTGAAGATGTACTTGGCTCCTTGCCCAGTGGATTGGCTTTAATTTTATTTCCAAACTATTGCAAGACAGTGAGTATCTTAAATATGGAAATGTCTCCTCCAGCCAGTTGCTCGCTAAAGGCACTGGTCAATAAATCCCTTCATTTACTACCAGCATGTTGGCATGATAGGAAATCACACATCTTGAAGGCACCGGATTAGAGAAATGTAGAGGCTGAGGGCTTTTCCACAGTCATATAACCCAGAATATCAAGACAGAAAATCCCACAATATCTAGTCTGAGCTGGGTTATCTGAGGGCCCTTCCACACAGCCATATAACCCAGAATATCAAGGCAGAAAATCCCACAATATCTGCTTTGAACTGGGTTATCTGAGTCCACTCTGCCATATATTCCAGCTCAAAGCAGATAATGTGGAGTTTTATTCAGCTATGTGAAGGAACCTGAGATATTTGAACAAGAAAGAAAGGCAGGGGTTGTCTGCAGATGAGAAATGGTGGAGGAGGACCTATTCGAGGGAGAGGCTGTGCCTACGAAAGGCCACATTAATCCTTACCACAAGTCCCCAGCCACTCAACACGTTCCAATTTTTTAAAGGTGGGTGAACAAGGCCTGCGTGCATTTGAGGAGAAAGTATTTTGCAGGAGATGAATAGATCGTGTACCCAGGTAAACAAATGTCAAAACTTAACTATTGCTTGAAACAACAAAACTGGAAGATTATTTCTGTATTTTACAAAATCATCTATTATTTTAGCAAGCCATATTCTAGGCGAAACAATGAAGTCTGGACTCTGCTGATTGTCATTGTTCCCTATAGATTTTTCAATTTGATCCATTTCCCATCAAGTGCTGGTTTATGAATTTACAAAGCATCAGTGCCACTCCTTTTACCATTTTCCTCTTCTAATTTTTTAGCAGCCAATTAACAGTTGCTTGTCAGGTTTGTTAAGATGCAACATTATTTTTTGCATGGAGGATCCTCCAAAAAGATCAATGATCTTGATGCATTTTGGGGAGCTAAATTCTGTCGTATCTCTCAGCATTTGAACTCCCCCCCCCCCAATCTTACTGATCAAACACATTTTCTAACATCTCCTTGTTTATCCTCTGATTGACAGTGACAGGAAAGTCAGGCTCTAAGGCAGTGTTTCTCAATCTGGGGGTCGGGAACCCTGGGAGGGTCATGAGGGGGGTGTCAAAGGGATCGCCAAAGACCATCAGAAAACACAGCATTTTTTGTTGGCAATGGGGGTTCTGTGTGGAAAGTTTGGCCCAGTTCTATAATTGGTGGAATTCTGAATGCTCTTTGAATGTAGGCGAACCTTGACATTTGGGAGTTGTAGGTGAATTCCAGCAACTACAACTCCCAAATGTCAAGATCTATTTCCCCCAAACTCCACCAGTGTTCACATTTGGGCATATCGAGTATTTGTGCCTAGTTTGGTCCAGATCCACCTGTTTGAATCCACAGTGCCCTCTGGATGTAGGTGAACTACAACTCCCAAACTCATGATCAATGTCGACAAACCCTTCCAGTATTTTCTGTTGGTCATGGGATCATGGGAGTTCTGTGTGCCAAGTCTGGTTCGATTCCATAGTTGGTGTTCAGAATGCTCTTTGATTATAGGTTAACTATAAAATCCATCAACCACAACTCCCAAATAACAAAATCAATCCCCCCTCCAACCCCACCAATATTCAAATTTGGGCATATCAAGTATTTGTGCCAAATTTGGTGCAGTGAATGAAAATACATTCTGCATATCAGATATTTCCATTACAATTCAGAACAGTAGCAAAATTACAGTTATGCAATAGCAATGAAAATAATTTTATGGTTGGGGGTCATCACAACATGAGGAACTGTATTAAGGGGTCACGGCATTAGAAAGATTGAGAACCACTGCTCTAAGGGAGGTACTTGCCCATGACCATGAGTCCTTCTACTCCTGTGCCAGACTGAATGCTCGGGTCACTTAGATCCCCCAAATTTGTCCAAGAAATCCAGTCGACCACCTCCCCCTGCTCCTCCCTCTGCCCCAGACAGATTTCTGAATTCTGTTTGCAGTTTTTCTATCCGAGAACAAAGCCAGAATTACCGTGCATTTCCTGCCCAGGAGTTCAAACACTTGTTGGTTCTCATGGTCCTGGAGCAGGTTAGATGGTGTATTTTCCTGCTGTGTCCGGGCTCCTGGCTTGGACCTCCGGCTCATCTTGGGCCCCGTTAAAGACGACTCTGGGTGATCTCACCCAGAGCGAACTTCCGTCTTGCAAGGCCTTTTCTCTTTACAACAGGAAGTTCGGAAACCACCAGGCCACAGAGACAAGAGAGAAAGAGACTCCCCATCTTGCTTCATGAGAGTCCTGGAGTAAGTCCTTCCTGAGCATGGCTGAGTTACCAACAGGCCAAGAGTGGGCCAGAATGAAGGAGACACCTCAAACAAATGATTCTGCTCTGAGAAACAACAACAATTAGCTCAGAGTTCACTCCTATGGAAAAGAACACGCACCTCAGATTCAGTACATATATTTTTGAAGCTTGTGAAAATAGGTATGACTGTTGTTCAGTTCCCAAAAACATATTTTAAGGGCAGAGTTTATTCTGAACTCAGCACTAAAGATTTCTACCCACCTTGGACATGGCAGGGGAATACAAAAGTTTCCAAGTATCCTGTTGCATCTTTGAGACTGAGAGAGAGAGAAAAAAAATACTAGAACCAGCTTTTGTGGACTCAAGTTTGCTTCATTAGATGCAATGGAAAGGATTAGCATTGCATCTAATGGTAATGGTAACTATTGATGCATCTAATTGCATCTAATAGTTACAATGGAATGGCAGTGTGTGTGTGTTAGTTGCATGACAAACAGCAAATGTTAAGGGAACGTCCAACCACAAAAAGCTTGTGGTAGTTGCCCAGAATACCACTCTGCTTTCCTAGCACTAAAGTTTTGATCACAGCCTTTCAACATATATCCTCTTCCAAATGTTGCTTTGAGGATCAGATTTCAAATCCTATTTGCCCTGTTTTGCAAAGTTATTTTGAATGAAAGTTGGGGCAGAAACATGAGGTGAGCATCAAAGATGTGGACTATTCTTGGTGTTATGGATTAAAAAATACTTTCTCCTGCTCTTGAATCTGGTCCTGCCACTGCCCAAAAAGAATTATTCTTAACTGGCTGAATTCAATTAGAATGAACTTCCTGGCAGACCTTTTGTATGTCGTTACTTCTTAACGTTTTTATGATGAGCCACCTCCCATCTTGGAAAGAGGGGGGAGAAAAAGGAAGGTCCAATGGATCTTTATTTTTAAAAATGCATTTGCCAAAGTCCACACATAAAAGATATTAAAAAATCAATGCAAAAATCCTAAGAAAAAACCTGAAACTATGCGGTTGAAGGCTTTCATGGCTGGAATCACTAGGTTCTTGTGGGTTTTTTCAGGCTATAGAGCCATGTTCTAGAGGCATTTCTCCTGACGTTTCGCCTGCATCTATGGCAAGCATCCTCAGAGGTAGTGAGGTCTGTTGGAATTAGGACAGTGGGTTTATATATCTGTGGAATGGCTGGGGTGGGGCAAGGAGCTCTTCCCTGCTGCAGTTAGGTGTGAATGTTTAGCTGATCACCTTCATTAGCATTTGAAGGCCTGCCTGAGCCTGGGAAAATCTGTTGCTGGGAGGTGTTAATCTGTGCCTGGTTTTTTTCCTCTCTGTTGTTTAGCTGTTATAATTTTAGAGTTTTTTAATACTGGTAGCCAGATTTTGTTCATTTTCATGGTCTCTGTTGGAGACCATGAAAATGAACACAATCTGGCTACCAGTATTAAAAAACTCTAAAATTATAACAGCAAAACAGCAGAGAGGAAACAACCAGGCACAGATTAACACCTCCCAGCAACAGATTTTCCCAGGCTCAGCCAATCCTTCAAATGCTAATGAAGGTGATCAGTTGAAACATTCACACCTAGCTCCAGCAAGGAAGAGCTCCTTGCCCCACCCCAGCCATTCCACAGATATATAAACCCATTTTTCCTACTTCCAACAGACCTCACAACCTCTGAGGATGCTTGCCATAGATGCAGGCGAAACGTCAGGAGAAATGCCTCTAGAACATGGCTCTATAGCCCGAAAAAACCCACAAGAACCTACTGAAACTATGCTGTTTGCACTCTGGAGGTTTAATGAGATTTTGGTGTTTAAAACAGCACAGGCAAGTGTCCCAAACACAAAAATAGGTTTAATTAGGTGGGAAGTTGTAAAATTGAGTCCATACCTAAGAGACTGAGATAGAAAACTAGCAGTAGAGACATACGGGGGGGGGGGGGGGGTGGGGGGGGGGGGGTGGGGGGGGGGGGGGGGGGGGGGGGGGGGGGGGGGGTTTAATTAGGTGGGAAGTTGTAAAATTGAGTCCATACCTAAGAGACTGAGATAGAAAACTAGCAGTAGAGACATACTTCTGGGATTCTTTCCTGGATTAGAAATGAACTGGTACTTGGCCTCATCAGACTGGCATGCCCATGCTCGTATGTTCTGCCCAGGTACATATTTAATAGATGCAGGAGAATATTTAGCCCGCAGAAGAGAAGGCTGAGAGAAGACATGATGAGGGCCATGTAAAAATATGTGAAGGGAATTCACAGAGAGGAAGGAGCAGGCTTGTTTTCTGCTGTCCGGGAGACTAGGCCGCAGAATAATGGCTTCAAACTACAGGAAAGGAGATTCCACCTGAATATGAGGAAGAACTTCCTAACTGTGAGATCTGTTCATCAGTGGAACTCTCTGCTCCAGAGTGTGCTGGAGGCTCCTTCTTTGGAGGCTTTTACACAGACGCTGGATGACTATCAGGGGCGCTTTGAATGCAATTTCCTGCTTCTTGGCAGGGGGGTTGGATTGGATGGCCCACATGGTCTCTTCCAACTCTGAATCAAGTAAGATGGTGTGCCTATTTAGGAATGCATTTATTTGCTAATATTGCATCTCACTAACTTTTAATTTGGTTACCTTGATTATATTTGGATCACGCCCAACTCAGTATTTCTGGCTATGGGCTTAGAAAGGAAAAATTGTGAAGAACACTTTCTCTTTCACAAACAGAACTGTCTCTCTCATATAAGACACAGAGCCAATGAAGACTAAATGTGTTCATTGGTTGGGATAAAAGACACAATGCAAGGAAGCTTTCCCCCACCTTCTGTTTTTCTGACAAACATTGCAGCAAACACTTATCACACACGCACACGTCGAAGTATGTATGCTTGTAAAACAAAGACTGTTGCTACGTGAAATGGCCCTCTATGATTTCACTGGACTGGCTGTTGCTAGGTTAGGTGATCCCCTGTGATGTCTCTGAGAGAGGAAGTTGACATGTGTATGAGGGGGAGGAAGGAAATGGTAGCCTGCACAATGGTAGCCTGTCTACCACTGCTTGAGTGTTGCCATGAAGAAGTTGTAAAGAAGGCTTTATCAGAGCTGGAGAAGGGAGAAAGAAGGTAAGCAGTGGTCCCAACGACGCTCAAGCAACATCAGGTATACAGTGTTCCCTCACTTATCGCTAGTGTTACATTCCAGGACCACCCACAATAAGTGAAAATCCGCAAAGAAGGGACACTCCGCCCACTCCTCTCTCCCTCAGTTCAAGTGGTGCCAAGGTTTCCTGAGCATGTGCAGTGTGCTTCCTCATTGCGTGCCTAATCATCTTCCTTCTTGAAACATGGCCCCACTGGAGTCTCTCCCTCCCTCCCTCCCTTCCTGGCGCTCACCCGGAGCCGGCGGACATGGTGGCCTTGATGGGGCGCTTGCTGTAGCACTTGTGGGTCAGGCTTGAGAAGGAGGACAAGGAGGAAGCAGCAGCAGCAAAGAGGCTGAGCTGGAGGCAGAAGCAGAGGGGCCAGAGTCAGAGTGCCACCAATGAAATGAATGGAAAGGGCACGTAAAAGATATGGAGACAGGTCTCAACTTAAAAGGAATGGAGACAGGTCTCAATGGAGACAGTAAAAGGAATGAAGACAGGCTGGAGGAAGAGGGAGGACTGAAGAAAAACCCGCGAAACAGCGAGTCTGCAATAAGCAAACTACGAAATAGCAAGGGAACACTGTATACACTAGTATTTACATATAATTGAGCATATAGCCATATATGTAATTAAAAGAGCTGTAGCAACATTATATTGTTTTCCTATATATCTGAATGATGGTATTATAAGCATTAAAAACAAACAAAAGACATTATCCATGGCATGATTGTTTCTCCTGAAAGTCAACAGTTTTTATTGCATTCCAAAATTAAACAAATACCGTGTCCTTGCATCCATTTTCACATTTTCAATCTGCAATTCCCTCCTCCCTTAAACATGAAACCTGCCCCGACTCCAACCAGAATCAAGAGCTGTTAAGTCTCTATGGGAAGAAATCCTGAGGCTTCCAGAGAGAGAATGGAAAAGGGTAATGGCAACCTGCAGTCACCCAAACACCATGTGAGGACGAGGAATTGTAGTGAGACACAAACACCCTGTGAAAATGAAGAGAAATGTAAACCTGGATGGGTCGGCCACACAGACAGGAGCCACCCCAAACATTTGTCACAAAAGCTGAAAGCAACAAATTAAGCAAGGTTGTTAAATATAATCAGTTGTCTTAATGTATCAAGAATATAACAAAATTACGTTTTAACCCTAAAAGCAAAATATTGTTGTAAAAAGTAACAGTTTCTAATTATTTTCAAGTTAACGCATTTCAAGAGGCATTTTGACAGGACGGTTTGAAGTTTTATGCTTCTCTCTTATTGGTGAGGAGAGTTTCGCCGCCACCCCCTTATAAAGTAACAAAAAATACTGGAAATGAAATGAGAAAAGTAACAAGAAATGTAATTTTCCATCATCATTATAGAATCATAGAATGATGAGTGATTGCAATGGATTACTTTTTAGCTACTGTAATGACTTAACAAAACAAATCACTTTCCAAATTAACTTTTCCAGCATTTCAAAAATAAAAGCAAAATATTATTGTCAAAGGTAACTGTTTCCAATTATTTCTAAATTACCGTATTTGAAGAGGTGTTTTGACAGGATATGCTGAAGTTTTGTCCCCTTTTATTATCAATCTGGAGGATTTGCCCACCCCTTTATACAACAACAGAAAGTACTGGAAAAGTAATCATAATGCAATGTAACAATTTAACTGTCTCATCATCATGATGGGCTACTACAACAGATGAATTGAGCAGGAACAACACAGCATATGTCCCAATGTAAAAAGGTGGACCATATTACGTGAACAAGGATTTCCATCCGATTCAGACTACTGACAGTTTTAGGGAAGGATGCAACCATTGCAGAAATGTAAATGCAATGTATTTCTGGAGTTCCAAAGAACTTCATATTTTTGCCATTTCAAATATACATATATATACTTAGCAAAGCTGCTGGAGCCCCTGGTGGCGCAGTGGGTTAAACCCTTGTGCCGGCAGGACTGAAGACTGACAGGTTGTAGGTTCGAATCTAGGGAGAGCGCGAATGAGCTCCCTTTATCAGCTCCAGCTCCCCATGCGGGGACATGAGAGAAGCCTCCCACAAGGATGGTAAAACATCAAAACATCCGGGCGTCCCCTGGGCAACATCCTTGCAGATGGCCAATTCTCTCACACCAGAAGCGACTTGCAGTTTCTCAAGTTGTTCCTGACATGACAAAATAATAATAATAAAATAAAAAAGCAAAGCTGCTAGTCCTGGGGTGAGCAATATGCGTTCTTTGGATATTGTTGGACCTACAATCCATGAAATCCCTCAGCATTGACAATCCCAGTAAGGATTGAAAGAACCTCTGGTCCATCACTTTGAAGGCTGTGCACTGCCCACCTTGTGCTAGCAGACCAAGTAATTTGGCCCAAACAAGAAACAGGTATACTATGAAACATTTCAAGTAAAAGCAATGTGTGCTGTGCTGCTGAATAATGACTAATATGACATGATTAACACAGCCCTTTTCATCCTGTAATGCATACCATCCAGATATCTGTTGGGACTACAACTCCCACCATCACTAAAAATTTGGTTTCGTTTTTCCCCAGAAGGCAAAAGCCAAATTAACTGGTTCAATTGAGAAATACTAAACATTATGAAGGGCCTTCAGAAAGTATGAGCTATTTGATAGTGGAGCAGACTGCCTCAGACTTTGCTTCAGGAGATATGGGGTGACCACTGCGGCTGTACAGGCCATACTATAATGAAATAGCAACACATTTTTAGCACTTGGCAAAGGATATTTCCAATTCCAATAACTTAAAATGGACACCCACCATTTTAAGTTAACAAATCACGACTTATTGCAACAGTGCCAAAGAATGTTTAACAGCTGGAGAAAACTAGGTGGTGTGTTGATGCAATAGTACTGGTAATAATACAGCGACCTATATGGAAGCCATGACGAGTTTGGGATATCGGTATAAAAAGGGGCAAGAGAACAAGACTAAAGAACTAGAGTTGCAAAAAGAGAAGAGAAGCCAATGGGTACCAGAGTTGGGAAGGTTGCAAACCTAGAAAGTCACCCTGGCACAGATCCTGATCAGATTTGCAAAGGGAACTTCTTGAAGATGGGACTCTGTGCCAATTCCTCTATTCTCTTCACTTGATCCTTCAGTGTGTTAAAGCAACCCAAGCCATTTTAGTACTTGAGGTAGAAAATCCGAATGACATCTCCTTTCCATCCTCAATGGTGGAAAATAAAGATTGTAATTGGCAATTTTTTGCCATGAAACTGTCTAAGGAAAGCCATACCACAGGGCTAACCCTGACCTTCAAGGATATTTTCGTTATCTTTTTTGGTGTCTTCTGATTTGGATGAGCACTTAATTTAGCGTCGGAAGCTGTCATGGCCGGAATCACTGGGTTGTTGTGTGTGTTTTTGGGCTGTATGGCCATGTTCGAGAAGCATTCTCTCTTGACATTTTGCTTGCATTTATGGCAGGCATCCTCAGAGGTTGTGAGGTCTCAGAACATCTACGGATGCCTTCCATCGATGCAAGTGAAACGTCAGGAGAGAATGCTTCTGGAACATGGCCATACAGCCCAAAAAACACATAACTTAATTAATTGTAATATCGAATTTACTCTGCCTTTATCTGATTGTTGCTTTTGTCTTACTTAAATATATCAATTTCAAGTATATAAAACAACTTTTAAAATGTAAATGTTGTGTATTTTGATATTGTTTACTGAAAGCTGCTTTTGGACACTGTTCGCTGTGGAAAAGCAGCATACAAATAAGCTAAATGCAGACTATATGTATCCTGCCTGTCTTCTAAGTGGACCTTACAAGGCCATGTGACAATTCATCTGGATCTTTTAATCATTCTTTTTTTTTAAAAAAAAAATTAATTTTAATAATTATTTCAAAATTCATACCAAAGCACTTTAAAAATTCCAGGACAAGTGCACCACTTTCACCAATATTAAAAAAACAGAAGGCAGAAGAGGACATGAAAGCAAAACATCTTTCTTAAAGCAAGTAAGTATTTTTGAAATTTAAGTGCTATTGTGCAAATATGAAACATAGAGGCAAAAAAAAAAGACTAAATGGGAAAAAATTAAACAAAAAACAGAATTAAAATGTCACGGATACACAGGAAACAGGGAAGATGTGCAGAGAGAGATACAGGAGCTGCTCGGCCATGAGAACCCACTGGGTGACCCTGGGCAACCCGCAATCTCTTAGCCTCAGAGCCCCCAGGATAAGTTTACCTCTGGGTCTCCATAAGTTGGAAATGACTTAAAGGCACACAACACCATGGATGCATAGTGAGAGAGCCGGTGGTTCTCAAGCTGTATGTCCCCAGATGTTTTGGCCTTCAACTCCCAGAAATCCTAACAGATGGTAAACTGGATGGGAGTTGTGGGAGTTGTAGGTCAAAACACCTGGGGACCCACAGGTTGAGAATCACTGGTCTAAGCCTTGCACCAAACCACATCACTTAAAGCAGATGGGAGAACAGTAGGTTGGCACTCCACAATATGGAGAACGCTCTTTTCTTCTGCTTTGTCCTTGTTATGTGAAAATTTCTTCCATTTAGAAAGACAGAAAAGGTACACAGGGAAATCTCTTTGGGATTGATGCTTGATGTATATGTATGTGCCTTCAAGTTGCATGTAGACTTATGCTGACCCCATAAAATCCATAGGGTTTTCTTATACACATCAAGAATTGGGTTTTCCAGTTTTTTCCTCTCAAATATTGCCTACAGCCCCCAGGAAAAGTGTGTGAATGAAGAGTGCCAACTATGGATACACCCATGAAATTAACCTTTCTCCCTAGTGTGTTGCAATGCCTTTAAGTCAAACCTTTTGATGACTATTGTTCATCAGCACCAACTTGAAGCTATTTTGACTAATACTGGACTGTGAAAGCCATTTTGTCTCAGATGGAAGCCACAGTTCAGGCACAATCTTTGGAGAGTCTATCCCTGTGGAATGAGTGACTTGTCCCAGAGGAAATCAATGGATGGCATGATGTAGTGAATGGCCTCAGGCAAATCTAGCATCACTTAGTGATACGACAAAACAAGGAGCGCCTCTGAACAAGCCATGGGATTTCTGTGCTTCTTTCTCACAAGCTTGTTTCCAAAACTTCTTGTTGTAACTTGTCGCACTCATTCCACACACCTCATCCACAAAGCTGGGGAAATGACCCAGGAGAGTGGACTCTACCTCATCCTTTGTTTTAACACCATAGACCTCAACTCTGTTAAGAGAAACCTGAAATCCTGGCACAAATGGCTGGAGGCACTAGGACAGTAATATAGTAATTCTTTGGTCTTGTAGCCAGGTCCAAATTAAATATGAGCCAAAAGGAAAAATAAATTAGATTGTCATGTTGGGGGGCATATCATTGGCTTAGTTGCCCTAACACTGGGGCTACACCCCCAGGCACAGATGGTATGATTGATATAATGGGTAGAAGGCAAGGGAGAAGGCAGGTGAATAAAGGTCAGGACATTGCTTACAAGTACAAGTCTCACTTATCCAACCTTTGCTCATCCAACGTTCTGTATTATCCAATGCAGTCTGCCTCCCACCTGGATCCACAGCTCTTTCAATGCATTGAGATATTTTGGTGCTAAATTCGTAAATACAGTAATTACTACATAACGTCACTATGTTCTGTACTGCTTTTTCTGTCCATTTGTTGTAAAATATGATGTTCTGGTGCTTAATTTGTTAAATCATAACGTAATTTGATGTTTAATAGGCTTTTCCTTAACCCTTCCCTATTATCCAACATTCTCACGTATCCAATGTTCTGCCAGCTTGTTTGTGTTGGATAAACGAGACTCCACTGTAACAGAAGGGCAGGGGCTGTTGCTCTGCCTAACTACAAAGCAAGGAAGAGAGCACATAAATCTATGTCACTGAAATAGCCTAGGAAAAGGAGACAAAAGGGAACACCAATTGGGGATTCCTTAATTTGTGGAGAGGGGTGTCCCCATTTCAGTTGAGCAATAGTAGTGTCACTTTGAACCAACCCACCCCCTCCCTCTCAACAAAACCCACACAGTTTTTTGCTGTGACTCACAGCGGGTGGCAACAGGTATCATACTGCCAAGGAGGTAAAAACGGCTAGGAGTGAGCACTGTGCTGCTCCCACCCCCGGATCCAAAAGCACACAGCGGTCAGTTGTGTTCTCGTAGCACCAAAAATCGCCAATGGAGGAGAGTTTATCCATGGCCTCTTTTAGGTAACTGGATATGCAGCCCCAAAAGGCACGAGTGACCGAGAAGGAGGACCCTCTGCCTTTCCTGGCTACTCTGAGGCGACCCTGCAATGGCAGCAGCACAAGGGTCCTTCCGCTGTCTCCCCAGAAGGACAGGCAGGGGACGGAGGCGTCTCCAGGAGGAGCAAAGGTAGAACCGGAGGCAGTTGACGCTGTTTCTCAGGCACTGGATGGCCCGCCCTGGTCACAAGCCCTGTGTCTCTTGGGGGAGGGAAGGAGGGTGTTAGTGCCCCACCCCACTGCTCTTTCCTGTCGTAACCCAGTCCGCAATGATAAAGCTGAGACTCATCACCATGAAAATGAAGCCTAGGGCAGCAAAACAGGCAGCCTGCGAAAGAAAAAAGAAGAAGAAATTATATACACAACATACAACCTCATCTCAACAACTTTGCCTGTTTCTATGTGGAAAGAAAGAGCAAATGGGGAAGGAGATTGGGAACCTCAGTCCACATAGCTGGAGCCCCTGGTGTTGCAATGGGTTAAACCCTTTTGCCGGCTGAACTGCGGATCAAAAGGTGGGCAGTTCAAATCCGGGGAGTGGGCTGAGCTCCCGCCTGTCAGTCCTAGCTTCCAATGTGGGGACATGACAGAAGCCTCCCACAAGGATGGTAAAACATCAAACATCCAGGCGTCCTGTGGGCAACGTCCTTGCAGACGGCCAATTCTCTCACACCAGAAGTGACGTGCAGTTTCTCAAGTCGCTCCTGACATGAAAAAAAAATCCATATAGCTTGAACATCCCTCCTTATTCATTCCTCATGTGTTCCTGTCAAATCAACTCCTGCATCCATTTGCCACTATATTCTATTTTTGTGCAGAAACTCCCCCCTCTCCACCCACTTTGCTACAATTCCTCAAGTTCATAGAAGCCTCACAGGTACAGTCACCCAAACAAGAGGTAAATGTCTTTGCTCTGTTCATAGATTTCTAGCCATTTTGACAGAGCTTTAAAACGTTAACAGGCTTCGTCTGTCATTTTACTGCAGTTCCTGGTTGCTTTTGGGTTATCACTGCATCATTTCCCATCTAAAGTATCTCCCCTATGCTCACACAATGGTGCCCCATTCCCACCCATCTCACGGCATCTAGTACCTGTATTTTGGACCTAGACAGCAACGGCTCCTTCTCATTAGGGACAATGCGGATGTAAAAGATGCTAGGAAGGATGAAGATGAGGCTGGGGGCTGATGTTGCACCTGGAGGTGGCAAAAGAGAGATAATAAGGAGTCTGAACAGGCAACATGTGTCCTAGCTTCTGACTAGGGACAGCTAGGAAAAGGAGACTGCAAAACTAGGAACCACTTGCTAGAAAACAAAAGTCAGGCAAATAAATGGTAACCGTTCCTGCTTACTTTTGTTTTCAGGATTATTTTCATACTAGAGCGGGTTATTTATTTATTTAATTAATTACGACATTTATATGTCGCCCTTCTTACCCTGAAGGGGACTCAGAGAGGCTTACAAAGTATATATACATACAATACACTATACTTTTAGCATGGTACAATATCAGCATTAAACACTGCTATATTGTACTATACAAATTATATTGTAGTATTACTCGTAATATTACATGTAATATAAATATATAATTACAATATCATATTATTATTATTATTATATTGCATTAAATTATAATATCATAAATATTAAATGTATATACAATATATTATATTATATTATTAGAATAGCACAGGAGACAAGGTGGAACTGTCCCCTGCCCCCCGGCCCCCTTCACTCTGGCCCTGAGCAGCAGTTGGTGCTGGGGGGAAGGGTCTCCAGCGGATGGCATATGCATTACAATTTTGTGCCCCCCCCCCCCCCGAATGAAACAAACAGAATAAAAACACAAAGAAAACAGCGCAAATGGGTATCACGCACATTTCTAATGTCTAGATACAGGAGTTCCAGGTTCAATTTCTGTCACCTTCATGTAGAACTGAGAAAGATCTAAAGCCACAGGAACCCACAAATAATACTGAGCTTGAGGACACAATGATCTAAATTGGCTTCTTTCTCAAGTTTTCTTTTGTAGTAATGCAGGCTAATGATATCTTTTGAAATGTTTTACCAAGATAATTAGCATTTGTTTCTGTTAGCCTTGTAATTTTCCAGCAAGTTTTTGATGGCAGCTGGCCATGACAAATGAAATAAGACCTATTTCTTAAGCACGGATCTATTTTTAAGTATTGCATACTCTCTAGGGGCTATGACTGCCAACTCCATAACCCAGTTTTCTATATTGGGAGATGAGGAGTCAGGAAAAACTCCAGGGCTGCAGCAATAAACCCCAAACTGCAAATGTGGCTGAATACAGATCGTACTGGCTTGGTCCCATCCTGGCTTAGATTTTGCTGAAATGCAGTGACTAAACCCTCAAATATCAAATCCAGAGCAAGGCATCTTTGGCAAGCTGATGCACAACTATCCAGTTTGCAAATATTTATTTATATTGGGTTGACTCAATTGTTTTCACCTTTCAATGGGGAAAGGAAGCTTCTTTAAATCTGTTGTCCTGCTTTGGTTAACAGGAGATATGTAAGGGTGAGCTTATGGATGAATAGGAAAGAGGCAGAAGGGAAGATAGTGCTCCATCCCTTTTCAGCCACCCCTTTTCTCTTCAGTGCACTGCCATTTTTTCCTACTCAGCTGTTTCAGTTGAGAAATGAATACGAATTTTCTCAAACATTCCATCTTACACTATACACACACACACACAAACATGCTTTTCGTGTCCGGTAGGAAAGTGGGGAGGAAATGGAGACCCAATAGAGTTTGAAGCAGAGAAACTGCATGAGAAGTAGAAACCCTTAGTATCCACTGTGGTTTGGTTCAAGTACCTCCTCCCCCATGGGTAAGGAAATCTGTGGATATTCAAGTCCCATGATATCCAATAGTATAGAAAAGGGCACCCCTTATATAAAATGGTAAACAACTCGAACGAGTACCAGATAGAGCCTGGAGATTTGTGAAATGGTAGGAGAATACAGCAAAGCTAAGCTTACATACATCAATTTAGTGATCCGCAAGTGGCAAAATAAGATCTGCTTTTTGGAATCCCCATCCCCCATCCCCAAATATTCTTGAATTGTGGTTGGTTGAATCTGTGGATGCAGAACCATTTAATATGGAGTGCAACATAGAATGGTGCAAATTCTGCTTCAATGAAGTCTGGTTCCAATATTGCAATGACTGTTGTTTGGCACCAAAGCTTTTTTTGTTTTCTGCTAATATACTTTAAATATGCCATTCATGTGTTTATGTAATGCTTTATAATTACAGAAATCTATGGGTTTATGATTATTTTTATTTTAAGTATTAACCTTGTGAAAGGGAGAACTGAAATTGCTAAATGAATGAATGAACAAATATGCCACTGACCCCTTATGGGCTCCAGCTATGGGCAGCAGATGGGGAGTCGCACCTCCAGAGAAAATATCAGGTTGAATCGAGATTTTCTCACTCTGTGATATCTATTTTCATTGTATTATTTCTATGATTGTATGTAGAATTTGGTCAATAAAATAAAAAATAAAAAAGAAGAAAAAGAAACTGGGGAAAAAGAGGAGCCCAAAGGCAGTTCGCTAGTCAGTGTCTACCAGCACCATAAGAAACTTCCATCTCCTCATATTTTCAATATGATGGCTTTCTGCACAGCCCATTTGTAATTCAGCAGAGTATCATGTGGAAATGATGGAATTACAACTCTGATGAACCTTTCCAGGCACAGCCAAGCAAACAATGACAAAGTTCAAGTGTAACACACATTTTAGACTGGTGTAAACAGTGCAGTATTAGAATAAATACACTGTGCGTGTTCTCCTAAAATAGACTGGCGTGTCCCACTCTTTCCAGGTCATGAAGAAGTGAGCATTACACTTTTGCAGAGTTGCTCTGTTACAGCATGATTTATGTATGTAATCAATTTATTTGCTCTGTTGGCAGGATTTATGTATTTAATTAACGTTTGTGCTCTGTTAGGGAATAATTTATGTATTCAAACGCTTTTTGTTTATTATATATGCCTTCAACCTGACTCTGACTTGTGGCAATCCTATGCTAGAGGTTTCTTGGCAAGATGGATTCAGAGGAGATTTAAACAACTAGTTTTTAGCTTTAGCTCTGTGAGACGCCTTGAGTCCCACAGCGTAATAAAGATTATAAATGTAAGAATGGACGAAATGAAATTATTTTAAAGCATTTTAACAAGAATGAGAGATAAAAAGGCAGTTAAAGGAACGGTAAAAGAGCCAAGGCGGACTATCCTTGCATATGGAACTGGGGACTTAAGCATGCTTACCAATGACTCCAAAAATGTCCTTGATGTTTGGCACAAAGATGACAAGGAGGTTGACAGTGACAAGAAGGCAGCAGGCAATGATGACATGGCGGACCCAGCTGAAGTCTTTTTTGTGGAACAGCAACTGATGGATGGCCCTGCGGATCTAGAAGGGACCGAGAGTGTGAACAACACCCAGGTTTGAGGGGAAATGGTCGCTCTCTGATGCTGCAGGATGCTTCTCATCCACTGTCTAGCAACTGCTTCAGGACAGAGATGTTACTTTGCAAGGAGGGTTGCAGGAGGCAGTTGTTGGAAAACCCAGTCCTGTGTGACAGTCAATCCCTTTCTCAGCCTTTCCTACTGCATCTAGCAACTGCTTAAAGACAGAGATATTGCTTTGCAAGAAGGACTGCAGGAAGCAGCTGATGGAATAAAGATTCAAAACCCAGTTCTGTATGGCAGTCAAGCCCTTTCCCAGGCTTTCCAACTACATCTAGAAAGATGTGTGTAGACAGATTTATAACATGAATTGCTCAGGTTTCACTGACCTCTTCTTCTCCTTTAGCCTCAAAACACTGCAGGAGAGACACTGGCCAACTTTACAGGGCTGTTGCACGGAATACTGATATACTGTACTTTTTTGCTAAACCCTAAAGGGTCACAGAGTTGTTAGTGTGTCATGCATGCACATCCAAGATAGGCAATTGTGTCCTCCACCAATTGTATCATAATCTCATGCTACTGTATCTATCTTTCACGGTTGGAAGAGCTCCCAACCATCAGTCCAGTTTCTGCTCACCTAGCAGTTCGAAAATAGTAATGTGAGTAGATAAATAGGTACTGCTTTGGCAGGAAGGTAATAAAAGGCACTTATGCAGACATATCGGCAATTCTATTGGGAGAGCGTCTAAAGACAACAAAGCTCCTCGGCATGGAAGATGGAGTGACAGCACCCCCCATCCCCATGGCCAGAGTCAAGCACAGCCTCCAGATGCCGGAAATGAAAAAAGATGGGAAGCTTTTACCTCTGTTTATGTACTGTCTGCCTTTGTTAATTGTACAACCGTATTGAATGTTTGCCATATATACTGTAATCTGCCCAGAGTCCCCTTGGAGAGATAGGGTGGAATATAAATAAAGTATGTTGTTGTTGTTGTTAGCCAGAGCAGAAGGGATTTGTGGGCTAAATGTATTTTAACTGTGATATTTGAAATGAAATTAAACTCTAATATCCTTAATTCAAAACAATTGGCTATGCTGGCCAAGGTCAATGGGAATTCCTCTGGAGAGATAGATAACATTTTCAACTCTTGATGTACATGTAGCTTCCCAACAAATGAGAAAAGCCAATCTCCAAAGGCCCAACAGTCTAGAAAACATACACAGGAGGGGGCACAGACAATGAGATAAGAAATGGAGGAAAGGTGAAAACAGGGTACAAGGAAACATAATTTTAAAAATTGCATATAATTAGTTACAGTAAGATTAAATATAAAGGCTCAGTATTATTTGTGATTATGCCCAACCTCTTCCATGGAATCAACTCCCATTTGTTATTATCAAAGCCAGCCATTCTAACACCTGAAACCATGGAAGCAGATTGTAGGAAATGTTTTTGCCTGGGGTTCAAACACACACACTTGAGGGGAAGGGACATTGGGTTTCACCATGTGGACAGCAAATGCAGAAAGAGAGTCTCTTACCGGAAACAAAACAACAGGTACAGTGAGTGTCACTGCCAGCAGAACAGCCAAACGGACAGAGAGTATGAGCTTGTCCGCAGGGTCAACCTTGATGTAAGTGTGCAACATTTCTGCTTCAACGCTCCCTGCCAGAAAACAGAAAGTTTAAGGGTTGAACATCAGAGAGACTGTAGATATAAAATGGGACAGGGGCCCCAGAGGGGAGGACTGATTTCCTCTCCTCTAATTTCACATCACCAGATCTTTAAATATATAATATTACTAATGCTGGTATCAAGACTCAAGGCTACAAAAGGGAGTCAAATTGCCTTTGAGCCACGAAATTCACCACATGCCCTTTGCATCAGGATTATTGTGAGGATGAAGCCAGAAGGAATGCCTTGAATTCCTCAGAGAAATGTTGGAACAGTTCCTCATTTTTTAAAAATGTAAATAAATAATAATTACGGGGAAGGGATTTAGGGGAGTAAGAAAACATAGCTCTTTTTCTGCAAATGAAAAACAATCAAGCTTTATCCCTTTAGGAGAAATAGTCCCTTACCATAAAAAGTGAGGTAGCCGAAGATGGCGGTCAGGAGGTACATACAAAACATTGCCAGGATAGAGACGTTTGCCACATTTTGCATCCGGCGCTTTGAGGCCCTAGGAGAGACACAGATAGCTCAAACAGCTTGTTACAACCTGCCAGCCCCAAATGTTTCACAGAGAGCCCTTGTCAACTATCTTCATAAAGAACTGTGGCAGGATGCCATTTCTTCTTACCTGGCACGTGCCACCTTATTTTTATACTTATAATGGAGATGAAAAAGGACACAGCTCATTTTGTGCTACACATTTGATACAAATGAGAGTTGAATAAGGTAGAAAGAGAAAACTTCACTATTTATATGTTTGTTGCATTCTCTATTAGTAAATGAGAGCCCACTGTGAAGCCCCATACTGGCGCACCCTGATTTTGGCCTGGTTGGCGGGTGCTGGCCCCTGAGCACAGCTGCTCTGGTATTAGTGCTAAGGCAGCAAAATGTGCCACACAGAGTTTCCCCTCTGAAGCATGACTATGTATCCGAGAAAGGGAGTTTCTCCATTTACTTGAGTCAAGACAAGAGAGCTAAATCCCAAATAGTGGTGATGATGACAGGATCTGGAAGAGAAGCACCCCCATGTATTCTTCCCCTATTTGAAAATGTGGTCCTTGATGCCCCATGACAGAAGGTTGGACTGGATGGCCCTTGCGGTGTCCTCCAAATGTACGGTTCTATGGTATGATTATTTCCTTTGTCAAAAAGATGAACTGGGCGTGAGAGATCTTTAGCCCATAGGTGAGTCCTTGTTCTTTCCTCTCAGTGTTTTCTTTTACTCTGTGTTGTTTAAGCTCGTTTGCATTCTGTACAGTCTTTGGTGGAAATGACCAATTCCAATGCTCCCTTCCACACATTTGGACATCTTTGACAGCACTTTAACTGCTCCGGTTATTTCTTATGGAATCATGGGATTTGCTGTACAAAGAAGAGCACTGAGAGTTCTCAGCAAGAGAGATCCTCTGGTGCTTTTGATCAAAACTACACATTTCCACACTCTGTAAAGTGTAGTGGGAACAGTTAAAGTGCTATATCTGGCCAGGGTGAAAGAGGCCTAAAAGCATTTTATCCTCATTCAATATCCTCCCTTGACTTCCGTTTACTCACCTGGACAGCTCTGTGTAAATAGGAAGCACCTCCGGATGGCAAACAAAAGCAAAGGCCAAGATAGGAATAGCATATGCTGTCTGTAAAAGGAAAGGAAATGTAAGTTCATTCTCTGTTCCTCCAACTGCACGTTGGAATCCTGGAAATTCCACCATATGTTTTATCATTATCACTATGACCACCTCATCATTATATTCTATCTGATCTTCTATTTTTACCTCTGTTTATGTATTCTTTGTCCTTGTCAATTGTATAACGGCATCGAATGTTTGCCGTATATGTGTTCTGTAATCTGCCCTGAGTCCCCTCGGGGAGATAGAGCAGAATATAAATAAAGAGAGATATTGACAAGCTGGAATGTGTCCAGAGGAGGGTAACTAAAATGATCAAGGGTCTGGAGAACAAGCCCCATGAGGAGCAGCTTAAAGAGCTGGGCATGTTTAGCCTGCAGAAGAGAAGACTGAGAGGGGACATGATGAGGGCCATGTATAAATATGTGAGGGGAAGTCATAGGGAGGAGGGAGCAAACTTGTTTTCTGCTGCCCTGGAGACTAGGACAAAGAGCAATGGCTTCAAACTACAGGAAAAGAGATTCCACCTGAACATGAGGAAGAACTTCCTGACTGTGAGAGCTGTTCAGCACTGGAACTCTCTGCCCCGGAGTGTGGTGGAGGCTCCTTCTTTGGAGGTTTTTAAATAGCGACTAGATGGCCATCTGTTGGGGGTGTTTTGAAAGCAATTTTCCTGCTTCTTGGCAGGGGGTTGGACTGGATGGCCCACGAGGTCTCTTCCAACTCTAGGATTCTATTATTCTAAGTATATTTATTCTATTTGTAAAATGGTAAAATAAGATGTAAATATTTAAAACAACAATGTAAAGTTTTTAAAAATTTGGATCACTTCTATGCATGAAACAAAGTTTCAGAAGGCAAAGATGTCCCTATATGATAGGCATCCTCAACCTGTGGCCCTCCAGATGTCTGAGCCTCCAACTCTCAGAAGCCCTCGCCAGTTACTTCAATGTTCAGGAATTCTGGGAGTTGGAGGCCCAAACAGCTCGGGAGCTGCAGGTTGAGGATGCCTGCTGTATCAATTACTCATGTGGACAATTTTGGATTTCTGGAACATTTTGGATTATAAGGGATACTTAACCTGTATTAGCTCTCAGCTGCAACCTCATCTGTGAAATCTATTCCCAAAATATGTAACTGCTACTTGCCTTTTCCAAAAAAAACCTGTCCACCAGTAAAATGTGGAAACTATTATTGATGGCTCAAGTACAATATAGATTTAAAGGCATCCTTGTCTGTTTCATAAATAACTTCAGTACTAGCTTCATTCCCCAATTCTGATCTCAAATGCTCTGGCAAATTTTCAGTAGGGATATTAATTCAGAGCTGAATTACAATTCTCCTTTATTTTTGCAGTCATTTGCAGGTATTTGATCTGTTTTTATTGCATGGCAAAAATAAAGAAATATGTAGCCCCTATTTCCGGATTTAAATGATCTGTGCTGGCCGGGCCTGACAGAGGCTGAATCCCACAACATCTGGATGGCTAGATCCATCTTAAGTTGTAGTGTGTTGTGCAGCATGTGTTTTTTGTCTTTACTGGAACATTAAGGACTTATCTGTATCTGACACTGCTGGAATTTCTTAATTATCAAAGAATACAATCTCCTCAGCACTAGATCATTCAATGGGATATAATTTCTCAAGTAAAAAAATACAGATGTTTGTTTATAAAATGTAATTAAATGTAGCTTCTTATCACTCAAAGGCCACTCTTCACTCAGTAAATTTCCCCCAAATGCTCTAGGGTCCAAACCTGGGAGTTGACAGTGAAGACCTCCACACCACAGGCATCGTCTTCTGAAACCGCAACACTCCCATTCTCCAAGGTGTTGTTGAGAGAGTGAGGACAAGAGATCTGGAATTTCTTGTAGATAACCTTTGGGCAAGGAACAAAGCAGTTAACAGTGAGAAATACAATTAAAAATTAGATAAGAAGGGGATGGAGAGGGAAGTGGGTGAAAAGGTCCCTTTTGCCATATTTCCCCCTTCTAAACCAATACTAAAGTCTCCAAATACTCCAATAATGAGGAGACACAATCTTCTATTGCAGTGGTTCTCAATCTGTGGGTCCCCAGGTGATTTGACCTACAATTTCCAGAAATCCCATCCAGTTTACTAGCTGTTAGTTGAAGGCCAAAACATCTGGGGACCCACAGGTTGAGAACCACTGATCTGTTGGGAGAAACTAGAGATTCTGATAATTTCTTGTCAACTTACCGAGATGAGAAAGAAAAACATGCAGGTGAGTGAGAGTCCACTGGTATAACCAAGATAACCTATATGAAAAAGGAAAATATGTCAGCCAATTTATACAGAGAATCAAGCTTATATGAAGAATCTAACAGAAATGTGGGAGCCTCCTGGTGGCTGCTCTTGAGCTGCTGACCGAAAGGTTGACGGTTCAAATCTGGAGAGCAGAGTGAGCTCCTGCTGTTAGCCCCAACTTCTGCCAATCTAGTTCAAAAACATGCTAATGTGAGTTGATCAATAGGTACCACTGCTGCAGGAAGGTAAAGGTGCTCCATGCAGTCATGCCGGTCACATGACCTTGGAGGCGTCTACGGACAACGGCATTTCTTCGACTTAGAAATGGAGATGATCACCAACCTCCAGAGTTGGACACAACTCGACTTAATGTCAAGGGAAAACCTTTACCTTTACATTTTTATCAGAAAAGTAATACTCTAGATCAGCACTTAATGCATGGGAGTCCAATGTTTTTCCCCAATATAGAAGAAACAGGTACCATATTTGTGCCCATTAGCTAAAGTTTTTTCTCCTCCCTCCCTTTCTCCCTCCCTTGGAACGTCTTCTGCAACCAACTCACCCAGAAATTTGGGGATAAGAAGCACTGAGATGGGATTCCTGCTTCCTTCTTTGCTCTAATCATCTGGCTTTGGGGTAAGGGGCAAATTGGTGAATTACTGCACTTTTTGGCACTGTACTGAACAGTTCTACAGGTCAAAATTCAAATGGTGAAGTTTTTTTTTTCTGGTATCACTATGACAGCCAACCCCTACTGGTTGAATTTCCCTATAATACTACTGTTAATGAGCATACAAATCCCATCTCAACTTCCAATGCCTCAACATGGACTGGTTTGGAAGGTACAATGGAGTGTTCATATACAGATTCCTCCAGCAGGGGGCAGCAAGGTGCGTTAATAACCCGAATCAATAGGGTGGAAAAATCAATACAATATTGCCTTGGACTCTCAGGTGGAAGCGACACCAGGTGTGACGTGGACATGCATGCATCATCCCAGGTGGTGTTTATCCAAGCGGACCACAGCTGGCGCTCGTGTCACTTACCCAAATGTTTCATCATAGCAAGGGGCAGGATGACACAAACACTGACGATAATGATGAGGACGTTCCCGTTCATATACCACTCGCTGAAAATAAACAGTATCAGAGTCACTTTGAGTGAACAGAGGGACAGGGCAAATGTTTACCCGAAGAGGAAATCCTTTGGAGAGAGGGGTAGATTTTGTCATCCTTAATAAACAAGTTTCTATGTACAGACCGAAAAGGAAAGGCGTATTTTGCTCTTCTGTATCTGATCACTGAAGCTTTAACGCTCCCATAACCTTAATGTAACTATTATAGCTGACCCGACATTTCAGAATTTGACTACACTATGCAACAAAATGTGAAACATTTTCTGTTCCTGATTGGAAAATGTTATTTCCTATTTAATTATGAAGTACTTATTTGAAAGTAGTTGTTATACTCCGGAAACTTTGTTTTGGTGGCTGCCACAAACTATGTTGAATTGGTTGAGACTGCATGAGATATTCACTGAAAAACTAAATCAAAATGTGCTGCAGGATGTCCCACAAAAACAAGTTTTTTGCAGTTCAATATTTTTTTCCATGTTTTAATGACAGAACCAATTAGGAAATGGCATCAGGTTACATAGTGTTATTAATGGATTTGATTAAAATGTTCTCTTGAAGAATCTTGAAAGCCTCCAGTATGCCTCCCCTGCCAAAGAGTCATTCTGGAAAACCTGGAAATCCCTTCAGAGAACACCTCTCTAGGAATATCTAGGTCCTCCAGTATGATTTGGTGGACGCTGACTCTAGAGTCTTGTGGGAGGACCAAGGGATTCCTGGAGAGGTACTCTTTCAGGTAAAAACAATAGCAATTTTATTATTTTCAGTTTTTCATTTTTGCAGGAGTTATGCGCCCACAACCCTAGTAAATGTGGACATATGACAGTAATCAGTATGAATAATTAGGAAAAAAATGTGTTTTAGTATGTAAGGGCAGGCCCACACATAGTGAGGACTCAGATGTATGTGTGTATATATAAAATGTCCAATTGGTGTCCCATGGGGTCCTCCTCCAAGGCCACCCAGTGTCTGGAGCAACAGGTTAACACCCGGCACATTCCTCTAACATCTCCAAGGGCAGAGTTTTCCTATTGTCCAAAGAAAACAAAAATAGCTGATTTCCTATTGCGGAAACACACAAACACCAGACTCTGGGGATGGTGGCAAAATCTATGGCCTAGCAACTCCAGTTTCTGGAGCAGGATTTCCAATTCCTACAGAACCTTAACTTCACAATAAGAAGTTATTGGAGTGACCTATAATACTGAAACGAGAAGTATCCTGTCCTTGAAGATTTTGCTAAACTAATTGCCATGGAGGCAAAGGCCAGCAGTAGTTGCCGTCTTATAACATCTATGAATGCCACACGTTCCCTTAGGCGTCTTGTGTTAAGTAACAAGACTGTAACAAAGTCACACTTCAACTTTTTTCACACCTATGATCGTTTCTAGTTACACTTAAAAGTCAGCTTTTTAAAAAAAATTAAAGAAGCAATTCGGCAAGGGTTTTTTCAATAATCTGGCAGGAATTTTATACCATCCTCTTGTAAACCCTACCCTCCCAGCTACAATGAATAATAATGAAAATGTATGAGGTAAATAGGGGGCCCTGGTGGCACCGTGGTTAAATCACTGAGTTGAACTTGCTGACCAAAAAGTTGGCAGTTCGAATCCAGGGGTGAGCTCAAGCTGTTAGCCCAGCTCCTGCCAACCTAGCAGTTTGAAAACATGCAAGTGTGAGTAGATCAATAAGTACCACTTCTGCAGAAAGATAACAGCGCTCCATGCAGTCATGCCGGCCACAGACCTCGGAGGTGTCTACAGACAATGCTGGTTCTTCGGCTTAGAAATTGAGAGGAGCACCACCCCCCAGAGTTGGACACAGCTAGACTTAATGTCAGGGGAAACCTTTACCTTTGCTTTTATGAAGTAAATGCAACAATGTTTTCTCCTGGTCCCATTTCTCTAACCTTCGAAAATAAAAATACTAACTTCTAGAAGGGAAATAGGTATAAGAAAGGGGTTCAATTTTCTTTCTTCTGTCCACTGCGAATCACCCCTTCCTTGTGATATGTTTTTGCTGGCTAGTGATGGAATTGTAGTGCAGCAACACCATGAAAACCGCATGATTCCTATCTCAACAGGGTGTATCATCGCTTCAGTGTGACAGGGCTAGCCTAGCACTATGGAGGCTTGGAGTACTGGAACTGCTTGCTTTTTCAAAAAAGTTAATTTCACAGTGTTTTATAAGAGGAATTCCTCATTTAAAAATATTGGAATGATTAACACCAGCTTTACTCATATACAGTCACTTCATGACATGCAATGTGCTCACAAGTTCAACACAAAACACAAGTGTGTCAGGATAGGTGACAATCTGTTTCTTGTTCTAGTAATCACTGCTTCATTTCTCCTTTTTTGAGACTTGGTGCAAGAGTGGATCCTCCCAAATCATTACACGGTTGAACACAGAGAATGGTAGCTTCAGCCCATAATTCTCCTCCCGGTCAGGAAAGGCATGTGAACAGGGCAGCAAGCCTCAAATGGATCCATTTATAGAAAGGGGAAGGGAGCCAAAAAGACCAGCTGCTTCTCTCCATAAAACTACTCTGAAGGCTTCACAGCAGCAGGCCTATCTTGAAGGAAACACCAACAGGAGACAGAGAAAGGAAGGTGCACCCATACATAACATTTATCTCTTCTTTCTCTCAGTGTGGTGTGTAAACAAACAGGTCACAACAGCTATAAGATGGACCAACGAGAGAAGTTCATTAAAAGTTCGGGTTCTGATAGGATTGAGTGTTATCTTCATGGTGACAACGAGATGATATTACTAGTTATTTTCACTGAGCCAACGCATAGGAATGAATCCATCTTAATTTCATATATATTGTTACTGCCAAGTATTTCAATTGAACTCTCAGGCTCCTCATGAAATGGCTGAGGAATTGCTCTAAGGAAGTCTTGCTAAACTTGAGGCCATTTCACACTATGCAGTTATAGTGCTATGATTCCACTTGGACATCTTCTACCAGGTTGGGCAAGAGCACATTTACAAGTAGGAGTAACCCAAAACTTGAGTGGTTTAGTAACTGCTCCAAGGGCTTAAATAAGAGTGACTTCCTTTAAGAAAGAGAGTTCACATTGATTGACTGACATCAAATTTTGACAGAATTCCCTTTGTGTCATTTTAATTGGGTATCCATTGAGCAGTGATTGCTTTATAAAGTTAGTGAGTCATCTGCCCTTTAGAATGAAAAGAAATAAGGGAAGAAGGGAGCTGGGGATGAAAATGGATGCAGTTTTGCTTACCTGTTGTTCTTTGTCAGCCCTAAGAAGGTTTGGATCACAAGCGGCAGTTCAGATTTAACAATAAACAAGTAACTGGACATTGCTGTGAAATAGAAAGAAAAACAAATATTTCCCTGTATTGGCTAATGGAGAAGAGAATGGTCAACAGATTGAGGTATATTTCACCATACCATTACAGAAGTACTTTATTGGATTTTAAAAAATTGTGCCAGAAGCAACATTTCTTCACAGCTATCAGATCTCCAGGTAACAGAAATAGGATAAACTTTGCAACAGCAGCAAATGAATGCCAATACATTGATTGCATAACACAAACACAACATTAAAGTTCATGCTTTTTTTTAGTG